ACTACTTTTTCTTCGAAGGTACTACTTTTTTGAACTGAAGGTACTACTTTTTGGCGTCCAGGTACCATGTTTTTTAAACACCCGCGAAGGTACTATTTTTTCTCCGAAGGTACTACTTTTTTGAACTGAAGGTACTACTTTTTTGCACTGAAGGTACTACTTTTTTGTTAGGGAAGGGCATTTTAGGCACCACAATTTTCTAAACAATAAAAAACCATGTGCCACCTCAGCAATCCATTTTAGAGAAATATGAAACTTTGACTCAGTCTCTAAGTAAATATGGAACTTTGACTCCATGTATATGTAATTTTCCCTTATTAATTCTTCTTGTTCTTAATTGTTTAATATATATATATATGTATATATATGTATATATTCCAGAATGTCTGGTAAGCCATTCTAGCTCCTTTTGTTTTCTCCCATCCTGTTGATCTTTTCTACTACAAGGATAAGTAATTGTTTGATTTTTTATCATTTGGTTTCATTACAAATTATTTCTCTCATTTTGATTAAAATTTGTTATGCAGGGTACGTTTTCCAAAAGTTGCTTAATCGCATCTGCAAATTACAAAAGGAGCGACTACATAAATAGAGATTGATAAATGGCAAGCAAAAGTGACAGTCCTCATATGTTCGAAGATTTGACAATAGAAATTCTTTCGAGACTGCCCCTGAAATCACTTTTGCGATTTAAGTGTGTTTCCAAGTATTTGTACTCTCTCATTCGAAGTAATACATTCATTAACAAGCACCTCCAGCGTCATGGCAACAATGGTCGTCTCCTTGTTAAGCATTACAATTACGACACTACAGCATATACTTTTGCATTGTACCCGGATGAAACACTTGCTGGCTTTCCCCTTGTATATTACGATGTTGATAATATTCACATGCCCCACGATCCACGTATTTTTGATTACTGTGATGGCATACTTTGTCTTTGGAATTTGGATCGCATGGCTCTATGGAATCCTGCTACAAGAGAATTCACATTTATCCCAATGCCACAACCAAACGTTCCAGACAATTTCTGCACTTGGTCTAACTTTGGATTTGGGTTGGATCCTACAACCAATGACTACAAGTTGGTTTGGATTCGAAGGTATTTTGATTCCGAAAAACTTATAAATGACTATGCTTCTGCAATTATTTCAGTATATTACCTATCTACTTGTTCTTGGAGACTTTTTGAAGCTGATTTGTCTTGGGTTCATTACGTGCATCTTTCTTCATGTAGCACTTGCTTGAACGGACTATATTATTGGCTGACTAGTGATCATGATCGGACTGATACTCAGGATTTCTGTTACGATGCGATCATTTATTTTGATTTTAGTAATGAAGTTTTTGGAGAGATACCAGGACCTCAAGATATTCCGGTAACAAAAGTGGGGAATCTCATTATATACAATGATTCTATTTCTATAACGTTCTTTTATCCACATGATCCTGAGATATACATTGACTTATGGGTGATGAAGAAGGAAGGGTGTTGGACCAAAGAATTAACTATCGGACCCCTTGTAGATGTTGAAAGGGCCCTTGGATTTTGGAAAAATGGTGAGCTTTTCATAGAAACCAGAAGCAATTCAGAGTTGGTTTTGTACAACCCTAATACTCAAGATATTAAATATTTTGGACATCGTGGACGGTACATCGACCTTCAGATTTTTATGTACAAGGAGAGCCTCGTTTCAATCAAGGGAGAAAATGAATGCCCAAAAGGACATAATGTGTCGAGTACAGCTCGTTTTCAAGATTATTTCACGTCTGATCCTCCCATATGGAGTGATCAGACAGTCCAGCATTGATTTTTGTTTCCAGTTTCAATAATTTATTTGTGTTTGTGGGAGCAATAAAGAGTAAAGGGATGGGCACGGGCAGGGAGGAGTTAGGATTGTAAAGTAGGGGCTAAAGATAATAAGAAAATTTAAATATTAACACAATAATTCTTATATTAAAAATAGGTTATATATATTAAAAAATATACCAAAAAACGATGATATTCTCATATATCAAATCAAGTTTTTCAATGGATAAAAATTAAAGATCACCTATAAATAGAGTTTCCTGATCTTAGAGAGATTTTTCGTATTCTCTTCACTGATTTTTTTTTTATCTATATTAGTTCAAAAAGATGATAAATTAGGCTCCCTCTCAAGTCTTTGTAATTTTCTTGCTAGACCTCCAAACAGGTCAAACCCTATCAGAGAAAATACGTACCACCGCGTGTTGAAAGGAAGTGGCTGAAGAGTAGTAAAAATTGATTACATATCATAGATGGATTGGGCTGATAGGAAGATGAAAAATAGTACTATGGATTAGACTAGATTGGGCTGATAGGAAGAGTAATAGTAGTACTAAAAATTGATTACATATGGACTGAGCTGATGAGAATAATAATACTAATTAATTAAAAGCTCCGCCCATGAGGATGGGGAGGGAAGAAATTTATTAGTAATGGATACCTAATATTTTCTTTATAATCATTGTTTCTTCTTTTCTGTAATGATTTAATTTTATTTTTGACATCATCCATTTATTATCTTGTAAAAAATTCTATAATACTCTTGGGTACGATGCCTCTGTGGTATGATATTGTCCGCTTTGTGCCTTAGCTTATACGTTTTTGTTCTTGGATTTTACTCCAAAAGGCCTCGTATCAATTAGAGTGACACACTTACATATAAGCACTTCACATTTCCCTTTCCCAGGCGATGTGGGATTGTATACCCATAGCTCACCAATGTGGTAGCTTGTCAGTGTCTTACACTCCTCCCACGGCATACCCACCCAAAGGGTCATCATAATCCACCCCCCTTGGAGGCTTGATGTCCCCGTCAACACACTTTTGGCTGGGTCAAGCTCTGATACCATTTGTAACGACTCACTCCACTACATAGTATGATATTGTCCGCTTTGTGCCTGAGCCAGCCTATTTTTGTTCTTGAACTTTTCCCCAAAAGGCTTTATACCAATTGGAGTGACACACCTACATATAAGCACTTTACCTTTCCCTTTCCTAGGCGATGTGGGATTGTGCACCCGTAACTCGTCAATGTGGTAGCCTATCAGTGTCTTACACCCGCCTACAGCACACCCGCCCACAGGGTCATTATAATAATTTGTAACGACCCACTCCACCATATGGTATGATATTATCCGCTTTGGGCCTGAACCCGCATCGTTTTGCTATTGGACTTCACCCCAAAAGGCCTTATACCAATTGGAGTGACACACCTATATATAAGCATTTCACCTTTCCCTTACCTAGGCGATGTGGGATTGTGCACCCGTAGCTCGCCAGTGTGATAGTCTGTCAGTGTCTCGCATCCGCCCATGGCACACCCGCCCACAGGGTCATCACAATCCACCCCATTTGGAGGCCCGACGTCTTCGTCAGCATACTTCTGGCTGGGCAGGCTCTGATACCATTTGTAACGACCCACCTCACTACATAGTATGATATTGTTCGCTTTAGGCCTGAGCCCGAACGTTTTTACTCTTGAACTTTACCCCAAAAGGCCTCATACCAATTGAAGTGACACACCTACATATAAACACTTCACCTTTCCCTTTCCGAGGCGATGTGGGATTGTGTACCCGTAGCTTGCCAGTGTGGTAGTTTGTCAGTGTCTTGCACCCACCCACGGCACACTCGCCCACAGAGTCATCATAGTGTGGCTCCCAGTTATTGAATATAATGGTAAAGTATTATGGCTCTCATTTATTGAATACGATGATAAAGCCCACTTATAAATGATTAAACCACTTAGACACCTCAGGTGTATGTACTTTTGTTTTAAATAGTCTAAACATAATAACATGTTTCTATGGTTAAAATTTGTATATATATATATATATATAGCGATAGTGACCGCCAACCATGAAAAATGCCCTCTGTTGAGTGGTGGTAAGGGGAGACGATATTGCGCTGGCATAGGTGTCAATGGAGACCGGCCGAAGAGAGAAATTTTGGAGGCAAGTCAAAGAGAGAAATTTCATAGGCGATTTTGAAAAATCAGGAAAAAGATTATTGATCTTGTAATCAAAGGTGGAGATGAAGTCAATGGTATTTGAATTTTGTGAAGGGATCCATGAGATGGGTCTGTGTAACTATATATATATATATATATGATGTGTATACTTATTTCCTCTCTGTATCACATTCTTAAAAGGGATCGATGTTACTGATTATTGAATGGTTGGAGAGTGTTTGCAGAATGAGACCTCCATGAGAGAGATGGTGTTGTGGAAGGAAGCTCGTTGAGAGTTAGGATTAACTGTAAATTGAAAAAGGATTCAATTTGGGAATTTATTAAATAAGGGTAAAAGTGCCATTTTCAAATTATAGCAACATAGGCCACATGCGCATTTCACAACAAACACTACAAGAAAAAAGAGCTTCTACGAGGGGTCAAAAGCGCCGTGAAAAGTTATTCACGACGCATTGTAGGCCCTCATGTATGAGAGTTCCGTAAATACTTAAATTTATTTAAAACATGGATATTTACCCGTTAATAATTAGCTTGCGAGGCACCGAAGTGTGTCGTAGAAAAGTTTTCTACGGCGAATTTTAACTACCCGTAAATAATCTCACGAGGTACTGACACATGTCGTAGAAAAGTTTTCTACGGCGAATTGTAACTACCCGTAAATAATCTCACGAGGCACCGACACATGCCGTAGAAAAGTTTTCTACGACAAATTTTAATTACCCGTAAATAATTTCACAAGGCACTGATGGATGACGTAGAAAAGTTTTCTACGGCGAATTTGAATTGCCCGTAAATAATATTTACGGGGATTTCAAGCTCCCCATAGATAACATAATTTTAAAAAAAAAAAAAAATTATAAAACATTACCCTTAAATGCTACCTAATAATTCACACAACCTGCAATTGGCATCAATTTTCAACAATCGTTTAATTCAAAAATATATCAACACATTCATAATTTAAATTCTATATGTTAATGTCAATAACCATAACCAAAACAATATCTTGAAATACCACATTAAACATATCAAAAGACTTAAAATATTTTTACAATTCAAGAATTCATGATTGATCAATGTGCCAAAATATGAAGTAAAGCCATTTGCAAAAAAAAAAAAAATCAATTTCTTAGCAATTGAGTTTCAATCTACACTTGTCAAAAACCACCTCATTTTCCACGGTACAAAATCCAAGCAAGTAGGTGCTCCCATTGATTCAGCAGCCAAAACTCGAATAGCAGGGTTGATAAACTTGGCAACCAATGTAACCCCAGATATCAAACCTCCACCTAAATTTTTTTTACCAGAAAATAATGGAAAGCTCATCAAATTAGTAAAAAAGATGATGCAGGAATAGAAAAGATGAATTAATACTTAGAAGTCATTAAACAAATCACATAGGAACTATTATAGTGTCTATTTGCAGGGCTTGCTCCAAATGCTCCAATGATATGGTACCCTGCCCACTGTGTAAACAAGTGAACACTATCATAGTGCATTCATACTCATGCCACAAAATTTTCCTTTTATATTTTTTTATAGTTTCTACATGCATAAATACCTCTCAATGTGAAACATGTTAGAGTTTCAATTGAGAAGGCATGTAGATTTGAAGGACAATGGCAATGCAATTTCTTAAATGTAAAATCAGCATGTTTGGTGCATTCCTGACATAGGAGTCAAGCCTAGAAAATGTCTCTCTATTTTCCAGAAGTGAGAAAACTATAGGAATGAAAGAGAATTAGCAGCAAATGAGATCTTTTAGGTGTTCCAATTTTGCTAGTCCATTTGGTTAATTTTTTAGTGTCAATTTTCTAAACAACCTTCTATACTTGATATAGCTTCTTTCTTATGCATAATTTTTCAAATGATTGGAATTAATATTAAAGGGACCGGACTACAAAGAAGGGGGTACTCTTCGAGTGCTCCGATTAATCTTTTTAATCATTTTTCTATATGTCAGTTATTCTAGCATTAATCTTCATAAAATAATTCTTATAAATTGATAATAGTAAAATTTTCTTAATTTTTTTCTTCTAATTATTATTTTAAATATATATATATGTATAATTAAAATATTGAGCCAAGCCAGCCTAATATTCTAATCCCCAAATGGACACACAAAAAAGTGAAACCCAATTGCCTAAGTCCCTCATGCCTCATAACCTCCGTCCTTCCACAGACGGCGCATTGTCTAGAAGACGAAACGTTCGTAACATCAAACAACCCAAACAACTATCTCGCCGGTTTCCAGAACCGGTCGTTGCACGCTACAGCCCTTTTCTTTCTCTCTCTATACTCACTTTCTCTCTCTATATCCACTTAAGCCTTCCTTCATATAACGATATTATACACATATAGATATAGATATAATTAAATAGAGTTATATCTATATCTATATCTCTCTGAAAAATCATTTTTCTATATGCAAGTAAAGTTTTCATTTACAACAAACTACTGGATTTCTCAAAAAGGGTGGAACCCATCACCTATCCCTAGGCCCCCTACATCACAAGTCCATGCGCACAGGTGCCAACTTCCACCCTCTTTTTCTCACACACATCCCTAGCTAGACCTAAACTAAACCCTTAATTAATTAATATATATATACTCCTATATATATATATATATATATATATATATCTAAATACGCTCCCCGACCAAACATTGTTTCACCCACTTACCAGAACCATCTCTTGCTGGGCTGAAACACACAGGCAGGAACTCATTCGTATCACACCGAAACATAGACTTTTCAAAGTGATCCACCAGTGCCTCCTTCCCTTACCAATTAACCATTTTAATTAATCATATCAAACCCAAAGCTTATTACTATTTATTGTGTGTGTACATATATATACGTTGATATATGCACACGTTCTCACTTCAAATTCATTTTTATTTATCCACTAGGTTACTCGCCTCTTAATAAAATGAATTTATAGCCCTCTTTTTATTTTGTTATATATATATCTCACTTCCCTAATCTGTCTTTTAAAACTGATTTTTATTAAGAGGAATCATTGTAGTTACTAGACCATTTTTTAACTCGTGGTTATAATGTAAACTTCATCTGAAACCAAGCAAGCACACCAAAGTTTATTTATTTCCCTTTTTTCTATAATGGCTAGCACTTTTTTCTAAAAGAAAAATGAAAATTACAAGAGCTGCATAAATATTTGTGACTTTTCCAAATTCTTTAACAGGAATTATCCCAAGGACACAGCTAAGTGTACCCTTTATTTTAACCAAATAGTGCACCATCCTAAGAACACAAAAAGACTCCATAAACAAGAATACATACAGCAGTATCTAATTTGCATCTTGAGGTGAAACAATCCTCCTAATTCACCCCAAACCTCTTTTTCAGTTCCAAGACGAAGTCATAAACCTTGTTGGGGTCACAAAGAGAACTGGACACACTAAATAATGAACGAGTAGGTCTTTGAGAATTCCCTCAAAGGGTCGATGCATGAAGATGTTTATCTTCTTAAAAGATCTTGTTCACGGAAAATAAATTCAAAACCTATATATTTTTATGTTGCAGAATCATTATAATCTCCAAGAAAAAAAGAAAATTGAAAAATAAGACATTCATAGACAAAACAAAAACTGGTAGCAACTTCCAAAGACATTCATTATTGAACACAAAACAAAAATTGGAAGCAACTTCCAAAGACATTCATTATTGAACATAACATAACAAAATGAGAAAACATTGCAATGAATGTTAAATTACTTGAAATTTCATCATAGAAACAGAACCATCACCTATGTATAAGCAAGAAAAAGTGTTATTCATCTTACCAAGCCTAGCCATATTTAAATTTGTTTAATGCCTTATTCAATTACAAGTTTTCCGTTTCCAAAAGTGATAAACATGATATTCTGGTTTACTAACTTCATATAAGAAAACCAAACTGCATTTCTTTAGCATAAGTGACACAAAAAAAGCAAGCAAAGGTGGATGTGGTGGTGGTGGTGGTGGTTGTTCATCCATAGATAGCAACAGCACCAACAATTACCTCCCTTCTGTCTCTTCTATTTCTTCTTCTTCATCTTCTCTAATCTGTGATGATAAAAATCAGATCCCCAAAACAAGCAAGGATTTGAGCACTGATCTCAGGCTTGGTCTCAACATCTCCCCACCCTCTCCTAATTCCCAATTTCATCAATATCAAGATTATTTCTCTCTTTTCTTCAAGCCCTGTCCACTCAAGGTACCAATCTAATAAATTCAATTAATTCATCACAAATATACATTATTATTATTCTTAGTAATACATTTCACCTTTCTCATATACCTTCTTTAATTTCTTATATATATATATATGTGTGTGTGTGTGTGTGTGTGTGTGTGTGTGTGTGTGTGTATAGGAAGCAAAGGTTGGGTTGGCCACCAATCAAGCCACTTTTGAGTAGCAGGGTTGCATCGGGGAATGCAAATACCCAATTCTATGCAGCTGTAGCCTTGTTTGTGAAGGTGTACATGGAAGGCTTTCCCATTGGTAGAAAATTAGATCTCTTTGCCCACCAAGACTACCATAGCTTAATCACAGCCCTTTCCCATATGTTCAACACCACCATCCTCTGTAAGTATATATATATATATCTACATTTCCACAGAATAAATTTTATACAAATGATAATAATATATATATATATATATATATATATATATGTTTAATTTTGTGTTTTAGAAATTTGGTTTGATTTACACAATTTTGGTTTATGATACATGATGACTACTCAGTGAAAAATATATCTGTGTTTGATTTTTCTTAGAACACTTTTTTTTTTTTATAAGTGATTTTTCTTAGAACATAGAAAAAGATTAAAAAATCATCAACCCCTTCTAGTGTAACTATGTTTCTTTCAAACTAAACATATCACTGCAAATTCAAATTTGAAGGGGATAAAAAAAAAAAATCTACTAAGAAAACTCCTCTGTCAAAATTTTGAATCTTTTGTCACGACTTATGGAGACAGATACAAGTACATGTAATGTTTAAATTCTATCATGACTTATGGAGTGTGTGAATATATAGAGAGATTTTGGCTTTATAGCATGATTAAATTTAATTTTATCTCATTCTATATGTTGTTTTATTTAATGATTCAACAAATTAAAATGTAATCAATGAAAACCATTAAAGAGCTACAACTAAGATTGATAATGCATCAGTAGTTGGAGATGCTACTGATGCTCTAAAAATTTAATTTTATCTCATTCTATATGTTGTTTTATTTTGGTATGAGTACAACTAAGATTGATAGAGCATCAGTAGTTGGAGATGCTATTGAATACATCAAAGAGCTGATTAGGACAGTGAATGAGCTAAAAATCCTGGTGGAGAAGAAGAGATGTAGCAGGGACAGGAGCAAGAGGCACAAGACAGAAGATGCTGGTTCTGGAGATGTAGAGAGCTGTAACATAAAGCCCACTGGTGGTGATCAAGACCAGTCCTACAATGGTTCATCATTAAGAAGCTCGAGGCTTCAGAGGAAGTCCAAGAACACAGAGGTCGATGTTCGTATCATCGACGATGAAGTAACCATCAAGGTTGTTTAGCAAAAAAGAATTAATTGCCTGATGTTCGTGTCAAAGGTCCTCGATGAGCTCCAGTTGGATCAGCACCATGTTGCCGGTGGCCACATTGGCAATTACTACAACTATTTGTTCAACACCAAGGTGGGTAATTTTTCAATTTCATCTATCACCCAATTTCATTGAAATATATATATATCAAATGTGGTGTTTTTTGACAGTTTGTGTTTTGTTTATGTTGCAGATATGTGAAGGTTCATCAGTGTATGCTAGTGCAATTGCCAACAAACTTATTGAGGTTGTGGACAAACAGTATGTAGCTATTCCACCAACTAGCAGCTATTAGGGTAGAAATTAAAAGGTTTTTATGATGAATTGGGTGGTGTTTTTCACTCTTGAATGATTACTATTTTAGTCTAATACTATTATTATTATAGGATAAAGTTGAAAGGACAGGCATGGATGCTTTAGCAGCTAGACTTATTTTGTGGTTTGAATGTTGGGGTTTGATCAATTGATTTTAATGAACTAACTATCTGTTATAGATGCTCATTAATTCTCATTTTAGACAATATACATATCATAGATTAATTTGAGTATAGCTGTTTCACACACACACACACACACACACACACATATATATATATATGCTTCAGGAGACAAGTTCTGCTCTTTCCAAATTTGGACATGCAGGAGTACATTCAGAGAATGCCTGCATGCATGAATGGATATATATATATTCTAACAGTTGTCTGTGCCATATATTTGGTCTTCTTTATGTTAGTTCCCAAAAAAGATTACTTGCTTATATATGTCTTTACTTTTAATTTTCAAAAACTGTTGTGTTATACTCTGGAGCTCTTTATGTTCAGTTTTACTGTTCATATATCCCAGGACTAGCTGTGTTCTCATTAATTCTAGCTACTTTTTATGTTGACTGAGAGCAGGAAGAACATCTCTCTCTCCCTGTGTGTGTGTGTGGGCACTTTAATCATGTGCTCAAGTTTTAGGTAGTTCACATGAACAATATTGCACACATTTGACAGTTAATTAAAATGTTGCTGTCTGCATGCCTATCTCTATAATTAATTATATTCTGTTACTATACATAGTTAGATGCAATGTGGATTTATTTTTGTGATTGGTGACATTCTGTTGCTATTCATATACTGTATATGTGTATATGTTCATGGTATTCTTTCTTCAAGATTACTTAGGCTGTTACATTGCTTCAATTGCCTCTACTATCTTCTTGCATTAATCGAAGTTGAAGTTTTGACCCCCTCAAGCATGAGTAAAAAGCATTAAAAATGTGCAATCATAAAATTGATTAATGTTATATTCAATTTCATGATTTGCCCTAAGATTTTAGAGTACACAGATGGAAGGCAAATACTATCTTATACAGTATGACAGAGTAACTTCACCATTTCACATGGACATAATAGGTGGATTAAAGAGACTGAGTCAATACACTGACGACATGGACATATATCAACTAAAAATACAACTAAGAAACCAAACAAAGGTTCGGTTTAAAAAATGTTGCAACAAACAAAATGTACCTGCCAATAATTCTTCGGTTCTACTCTGTATGTTATATCTTTGGTTCTTAATCTCTCCGTACAGACAAGTCGTCCTCCATCATCTCCGCATCAGGGCAACATACATTAACATGGTGCATAAATTAGGTTAGTAAAGTCTCAATATAAAAGGCAAAATCAAGAGTGTAGATTCAATAAATTAAACCTTAGAACTAACCAATAAAAAGGGGAAATAAAACCCTAGAAAAAATTAAGAATTACGATATATATATATATATATATATATATATATATATATAGAGAGAGAGAGAGAGAGAGAGAGAAGGAGAGAGTACAGGGACATATACCTCAGAGGGGATCTTGGAGGTTTTTCTTTTGGAAGAAGAATTCTTGGTATCCATTTGGCTGGGTTTGATGATCTTTCCTCTACTTGCAACAATAATCAAACAACAAGAGACAAAAAAAGGAAACAAAAACAGAGAAAAGAGAAAGAAAATCCAAGTAACATGATACAAGTTTGAAGAAGCCAAGGACAGAGACTGAATTTTGCTTTTCCATTTCAAGAAGAGAAATATTAGGGCTTGATGAAAGAGGGATAAATGGTCTGCTAAGACGTGTTTTCTGTGTGGTTGTTTCGTGTTACCACTTACAGGTCCAGCAATCTCGTCGGTGATAATGGTGTTGGAAGCCTTTCTTTCCATCGCTGATTGCTCCAAATTTGGGACGGCGAAGCTTACTCGACAATGCGATTTGGCCGAAAACTCCAAGATTGAACAAAAGCAACCACGAAGAGAAGCGTGAATCAGAACTCCAAGATCGAACAAAAGCAACCATGAAGAGAAGAAGCCTGAGCATGCGGGCCGTGTGGATCTAATCTGGGAACTGCACCAAGGGAAAGAAATATGGTTCCTCATGTGTTTGGGTCTCCAAATGTGAATGGGTCTGAGGACGAAGAGATATATGTCTCTTAAGTTCTTTCTTCTTTTTTTTTTTTTTTTTTTTTTATGTATACATTTTTAAAGTGATTTTAATTGTGCGGGAGTGTGAAAATTTTGGCGCGGAGAGGAAAATTTTTGGGGGCAAGTTTTATTGCTTATTTACGGGGCAAAAAAGATGACTTAAATGTGAAAATTTCTACGAGGAATATTTATCCCATTAAAGGTGTACAAATATGCCGTAAATATATTAAAATATTCATGACGTCTTTAATACACCGTAAAAATGTTTTTCTACGAGTATCTTGCTAAATCCTCGCGAAAGAATGTCCATAAATGTAACAATTACGGGGATTCTTTTATAAACCCCGTAGAAGGTAGTTATTACGGGGCAAAACAAAAAAATGCCGTAGATACTATGTCGTAAAATACTATTTTTCTTGTAGTGAAAATCGGACGGAACAGTGTTGCTTGTTGTTTATTCCAAAAATTAGAATAGTTTAGAGAGTTTATTGTAAAAATAAAAGTTTAGGGATTGGTTTTTTTTTTTTTTTTTTTTTTTTTTTTTTTTTTTTTTTAACACTTTACCCTAATAATTATAAGTGAACTATCAATCTTCCGCAATTAACCCACCTAAACTATGTTTTTCTAATTATAATAATAACAATAACATAAAATGTCCTTAATTGGTTGTCAATCCTTTGTTAATTTGTAATGTGCACCCCTACTAATGAAATTGAAAATAAAATTAAGTTAACAAATGAAAACATACTAAGAACCCAAAATCAGTTGATTATATTACATACGTATTGTTTTTCTTTAGAATTGTTATTACTATTTTACCTATTGACTCTAAATAAAATTATTTAAAATTTGTTACTAGGTAAGTTTATTATTTTGACATCAGAAATTAACAAATATTTAACGGTATTTTGATGACATGTGGTGTTTTGAATTGCACAATTTCAAATGAGGGGAGGAGTGGATTTTTATTTTTTATTTTTATAGAAATAGGGACCCCTTTCAAATGAGGGGAGGAGTGGAATTTTTATTTTTACTTTCTTAGAAATAGGCAACCCTTTGAATTGAACCACTCTGCAAGGTAAGAGCATCTCTAATAGTATGTTAAAATAATTTTTTTATGTAAAATATACACTAACACATATGATGTGTAATTTATTTATTTATTTATTTATTTTATCTCCAGCAGTCTGTTAAGATATACTGTCGCGTCACTAATGTGTAAAATTATTGTGTATTGAGCATCTTCAATCTTTGTGTATATATTTTTGTGTAAATCTGATGTGTCAGAGTAGATTTATACAAAAAATTTGTACTACCTATTTTTAACTCTAACGGTTGTTTTATACCTTTTGTGTAGAAAAATATCTCCCAATAATAACCAACCACGTGTCACATGCAAGACCCTATATAACTTTTACAAACTTACTTGATTCAATTTACTTTTTTGCTATTAAACCTCACATCCTAATCCTCCTCAATTAGGGAAAAATTAATAATTTTCCCCTATATTTTACTTTCTCATCCCGCCAATAGCAAACCTTTTCCACCGCCAACAAAATTCTAACTTAATAACAAATAATAAAATAAGATTCAAGTACGTAGAAACTACAAAAACAAAAAATATGCAACAACAATTGCGATTGAATTGACTAATCACCAAAAAAGGAAAAAAAAAAATAATAATTTGTATAACTGTAACAAACAACAATTATATAAAAAGTTGATTAAAATATATATCTAATATTTAGCTAATACATATTTATCTCATTAGAATATAATGTAAAAGGATAAAAAAATCTAAAAAAAAAACCCTATAATCTACTGCGATGATTGCAGAAGATAATATCAAACGAAAGTGATGAATCAAACTATTTTTATTAAAAAAAAAAAGTAAAAATAAAAAAATAAAAGATGGTCGAGCAGTTTTTTCGTTGCCACCAGTTGCAGATTCTTCTCTATGGCGCTTTAGAAAAGTGGGAAACAAAGAGGCGTAAAGGAATGAGAGAGAAGAAAAAGAACCGTGAGTGGGAAAGGGGGAGGGGAGATAAAATATGCTTACGTGGCTGTGTAAAAGGGCTGTGTAAAATACACAATTCTTTTACACATTGGTGATGTGGCAGTATATCTTAATAGACTGCTGGAGATGAAAAAATTTACAAATCATATGTGGCAGTGTATATTTTACACAAAAAAGTTTTTTAACAGACCGTTGGAGATACTTTTACACAACCTTTTTACACAGCTAGCTACATCAGCATATTTCCTTTATCCTCCCTTTTTCTCATTCTATTAACGAATCAACCTTATATTAATTAATAGGTTTGTAAAAATTATGTAGGGTCCAAGCATGACATTGGTTGGCTGTTATTAGGGAATATATTTTTACACAAAATGTATAAAACAACTGCTGGAGTTGAAAATAAATAATCTATATGCATATATAGTGTTTTTTTTATAGAAAAGGAACCTTCAAATGCAATTAGCTAGACATAAATGCATTTGATGTTTAATTTTTTCTTAGTAATTGAAACAAGGTCCACTTTAAACTCTGTTTTTTGAAAAAAAAAAAAAAAAAAAAAACCCTTCAAATGCAATTACATAAATGCAATTAAAGTTGTTTTTTATTTTTTTTTATTTTTTTTATTTTTTCCCAAGGGATTGTTCTTAGGAATTAAAGGTTTAGAAACTTTAATTCCTAAGAACAATCCCTTGGGATTTTTTTTAAAAACAATTATATATGCATTAATTTAAAGTGACCTTGTTTCAATTATTAAGAAATATATATATATATATAAAAGTTTAAAATGACCTTGTTTCAGTTATTAAGAAAAAAAAAAAACCTTCAAATGTATTTATGTCTGTCAAATTGCGTTTGGAGGTTTTAATTTTTTCCTATAAAAAAAAAAATTATATATCCATATAATTTAAATTGACCTTGTTTCAATTATTAAGGAAAAAAAAAACCTTCAAATGGTTGGGAGGGGTAATTTCGCCCAGATAGACTAAGGGGCAGTGTTGCAACAACCAAAATACCTAGGAAACACTACCAAAAAAATTAATTTTTAAACACAGTGGAAAATGCATTCCACCATGGTTTTGACCTGTTCTAGTATTAGTTGTGGTAGTAAATGGGGGTTTTCTACCATGATGCTTGACCGTGGTAAAGAGTATATTTACTACCATGGTGCCTCACCCAAGTAGAAAGTCTATTTTCTACCGTGGGTTCAGACCGTGGTCAAAATTAATTTTACCACCACGTTGGCATCCAGAGATAGAATGTCTTTCATTTTACCACAGACTAGAGCCTTTGGTGGTATTTATTACATTATACCACGGTTTTAGCCCCTGCTAAAAACCGTATATATTTTTATATATATATGGCCCTTAAGTAAGGGCCCTTTTTCCTTGTACAGTAAGTACAATATAGCCCAGCAAGAACCAAACTAAAGCAGATCGTAAATGAATAAAAAATAGTAATCAAAGGATTATGCAACAATAGAATCAAAGCCCAAACTAACTTAAAACATGCCACTAACATCATAATTAACCAAAACATGGTTTTACTGAAATACCATATACAAATGTCAACCCAAAGAGCATATCCATGTGACAATACTTGGGTCCGCCTTTAGGAGAATGGAGTCCGAGATGTGTCCAATATAATTTAGACACATGTCCAAATTTTTAAATTTTTTAATAATGGTCATTATCCAACTTCTTACTAATTAAATCGCAACCCAATTTTTTTTTTTTTTTTTTTTTTTTTTTTTTTTTTTTTTTTTTTTTTTTGCAGTATTCACAAAATTTTAATATTTCTTTTCATATTTCACCGATGAGAGAGGAAAAATAAAAATACCAAATGGATGCCCTATCAATTGAAGGTGTTGGGAACTTGGGAGGGATGGAAAACATAGATCTAACTTTGACAAAAAAATATACCTGCTAGAAAAGCTTGATTCATATAGATTAACATCAAATTTCTGTGTAATATTTTAAGCTCCTATTCCGTTCCACTAATATGTTAACCTATATGAATATGAGCTTTTCTCACATATATGAATAGGTGTTTTTCATTACATACATTTGCCAAATGAATTTAGTAATTTTCCAATTTCAAATGGAGGTTGGGTATAAAAATTATAAAAATAACCGTGATTGTTTTGGAAAGAAAATATTATATATATATATTGGGTTTCAATTTACCTATAAGAAAATGGGTAATGACTATTTTTTAAAAATTTAAAATTTTAGACATGTATCCAAATTGTATTGGCCACATAAGCTAGGAGGATGAACTTCATCCTCTTAGGAGAGGACCCAAGTATTGCCCATATCCTTAAGTCAAAATGTTGTGCTAAATAGAAGCAACAAAAAGGACTATAAAGTTTTACGGAAACTTTTTTTTGCACGGGATTTTCTACCAAAATTTGAAACTAGAGGATGCTTTTATGCAATTTGTCCTATATTAATATTAAAGGGCAAATTGCAAAAAACCTCCCTTTACTATTACTTAGTTGTGAAAAACCCCTCTTATAAATGTTTTTGACAAAAAATTCCCTTCAACTATTCCAAGTGGGTGTTTTTAACTGATATATGTTTAAGTGGTTGTTTTTAATTGATATATGTTTAAGTGGTTGTCTAATGGAATTTTTTGAACAAAATTACCCCTTAATAGATTATTCGTCAGATAATTTATTTATTTTTTCTCTCTTCTCTCTCCGCATCAAGCAAGCCTTCTCATTCATTCAAACACAAAGCTATCAGCAGATCGAGAAACCCAATTGTTAAAAATTTATCTTTCACTACTGCTTGGATAACATGATATAGCACATGTAAACAATTGTTGAGGCCCCAAGAATACTCAGCTGTATTTATTTAATCTATGACTTAATTTTATTTATTTAATTTATTATTGATTTTTGATTTTTGATTTTTGATTTTTTTTTTTGGTCATAATTTCATCCATGTAATTGAACAAATCATTTGCATAAAAAGTGTTATGTTTCCTTTGGTTTTCTTACCATCTTAATAATAAGATTTTTTATTTTTTATTTCAAAAAAACATCTTAATAATAAGAGTGAGTAAACTTCCCATAAATTACCCTCTATACTTCATCCACATGGTATGTAATTTTCGAGTAGCAGGTCGTAGGATCAAAATAATTTTTGAGTAGTAGGTGGTGGAATCAAAACAATATATGATGAGATGATAAATGCATTTCTTTGAAACTAAATGACTTAAAT